TACCACTTACAGAAGTTACCTAAAGTAGTTAAATTCATAGAAGAAGAAAGTAGAAGAGTGGTCGCCAGGGGCTGGGCAGTGGAGGAAATGAGTATTTATTGTTTAATGAGTATGCACTTTCAGTTTTATAAGATGAAAACATTCTGGAAATCTGTTGCACACCAATGTTAAGTATATTAACATTAACACCATTGAAATATACACTTAAAAATGGTGGGTATGATACATTTCATGGTATGCATATTTTTTATAAAAATTTTTCAAAATTAAAAACTTAAGTAAAGAGATAATGATACCTTATGGAAATAAATTTTATCTCCAAGATTGACAGTACTTTTAAAAAATGAACAATGTATCTGCTCAATGTATACACTCATTTACAAGGTGGACTAGGAATAAGATGCTTAAAATAAACATTCTCCTTGGACAAGGAAGACTGGGAGAGACCCAGCAATGACTGATTTGTAGGAGTTCTGATACACTGCTGGATAGACATCAAAAGGGTCTCTTCCTGGAATAGGAACAGAGGATCCGATCTCACTTGCAAGAAGGGCTTCCTTCTCCAGGGCCCCAGATCCACGTCTTGTGAGGCGCTTGCTTGTCCATTTCTTCTCCTTGGCCACAGTGGACATGGAACTCAGTGGAGATGCCCTTGTTCAGTGGCCGTCATGACTTGTCTCTGGCTCATGGAAGATTCAGAAGTTGTTTTATAGATAGAATAATCAAAGCCTTTTTCAGTCTTGGCTTCTGATTTTCTTGGCAGCATAATTTCCTCAAAAAATGACTAGCACTTTTCTAATCTACCAGTAAAGACATGTAAAATCTTTTCCTACTCGTAGTGCTTGGCAGATTTCTCTGCTTCCTCTACATACGACCCAAAACTTTCTTTTAGGATCATGTTTCCAGGCTAGAATTGGAATGCTACATTGTTAACCCACACTCTTCTTTAAGCCACTCTGTCAAACAGAAAGGTTTTATGGATATTTTGTGGTTCAATGCATTTGAAAAAAAAAATCCATCCCACTGCCTGGGATGGTGAAACAGTTGTATTTCAAACTCTCCCATGTCCTGAATGTCTGGACTCTATATTCCCTTTTGTTCCTGATTGTTAATTGGTCAAGCCTGGGTCAGAACAAAGGATAGTATGAAAACCCAAGTCAGAGGTTTTCCGAGACTGGCTGTCAGCTCCAATGACTTGAATATGAAAGAACTGAAGAGCACATGGCCTCAAACTCATCTGTGGACCAGTATCTATCTTCTAAGGAACTCATAAAATACACCAATGGGAAGAGGAGACTTCGTCCATTTTAACATTCTAAATCAGAATCTTTGGGGATGTAATGATGTTTTGGAAAGACCTCAGGTTACTTTAATGTACTTTAGGTAAATTAGGAAGCATGTATTATTTTATTTATTTATTTTTGACACAGAGTCTCACTCTGCTGTTCAGACTGGAGTGCAGTGGTGAGATCTCGGCTCACAGCAACCTCTGCATCCCGGGTTCAAGCGATTCTCCTGCCTCAGCCTCCTTAGTAGCTGGGATTACAGGTGTGTGCCACCATATACCTGTAGAGATGGGGTTTCGCCATGTTGGTCAGACTGGTCTCAAACTCCTCACCTCATGATCCACCCACCTCAGCCTCCCAAAGTGCTGGGATTACAGGCATGAGCCACCATGCCTGGCCTAGGAAGGATTTAATGCACAAATTAAATCCACAGCCTATGGACCCACAGATAAAAGGTGACTTGCAAAAGTTTACTGTACAATCTAGTCACCAAACCAGATACAGATCTCAAAGACCAGGTCACAGTGTCCAATTACTTATTGTAAATCGTCACCTGGCTACTGGCTATGGTTGTCACAGTAGTATCTTCCTCCCAAAGATGCTCACATCCTTGTGGCCAGGCACGGTGGCTCCCACCTATAATCCCAGCACTTTGGGAGTCTGAGGCGTATGGATCACCTGAGGCCAGGAGTTTGAGACCAGCCTGGCCAACATGGTAAAACCCCATCTCTACTAAAAATACAAAAATTAGCCGGGCGTGATGGTGCATCCTGTAATCCCAGCTATTCGGGAGGCCAAGGCAGGAGGAGAATTGCTTTAACTCAGGAGGCAGAGGTTGCAGTGAGCTGAGATTGTGCCACTGCACTCCAGCCTAGATAACAGAGTGAGACTCAATCTCAAATAAATAAATAAATAAATAAATAAATAAATAAATAAATGAATGCCTACCTCCGAATCGAATCCCTGTGCTCTATAAGTATACTACCTGACATAGCAAAGGGAATAATGTGATTAACTTAAAAATCTTGAGATGAAGATGTTATCCTGGACTATCAAGATGGGCTCAGCATAATCACCATATAATCACCTTTTAAGATGAAGGCAGGAAGGTCAGAGTCAGAGACAAGATATGACTGTGAAACCAAAGGAGAGAGAGAGAGAGAGAGAGAGAGAGAGAGAGAGAGAGAGAGAGAGGTTTCGAAGTTACAGGAAGAGACCATGAGGTATGGAGTTCGGGTAGCCTCTAACAATTGCAAAAGGCAAGACAATGGATTCTCCCCTGGAGCCTCCAGAAGGAATGAATATAACCCTAGGGACCCATTATAGACTTCTGATCTCCAGAACCACAAGACAATGCATTCTTGTTGTTTTAAGCCATTAAGCTTATGGTAATTTGTTACAGTAACATTAAGAAGCTAATACAGATTTTGGTACCTGGAAATAGGATGCTTCTGTAAGGAACACCTACATATGTGGAAGTGGCTTTGGATTTGAACAATGAACAGAGGCTGGAAGAATTTTGAGCATGACTAGAAAAAACCTAGATTTCCTGGAACTGACTGTTGACAGCAACAGGAAATGAATGCATTGCACTTGGCATGCTCTCCTAAAACAGGATCTCAAGGCCACCGATGCCTGTGCTCGGTTTCATCATGCAAGAAGCAAGGAATTCCATGCTTAGCTAGAAAAGAGTATGGATTCAAGATTTCTTGAAAATGAATAGATGTGACCTGCAAAAAGAATGTTAGCAGATTGATTTGGGGTTTGACCACATGTATCCCCGCTTCCTCTGCCTCCTCTCCTCTCAGACTGTCTGCTTCAAATCTGCCTGGCATCACAGGACTGCTGCTCGGAAGCCATATGATGAGGTCTCATTTGTTTGCATTCTAGTCTCTTGGCATCTACTGCAATTTGATATTTCACTCCTGGTTGGTGATCAAGGCCAAGTACTGTAGGGGTAGAGGAGAGGCAGGAAGGGCTGTTTGACTTGGGGCCAGGGTCAGTGAGTTTTCTAAACAGCTGTCAATAAATTGTCTGCTGACTGATGTATCAGAGTACTTGGAGCTTTGAAGGGATTTCTTAGTCTGATTCAGGGACCCTGGACTGGATCAGAAATTTAGATGCAGAATCCCCTCTTTCCCTCTACAACTCTAGCTAGTAGAAATGGAAGTTTTCCAAGAGACATGCTCCCAGATCCAGAAGGGAACCTAAGTTCCCCTGGGTTCCTATTTGAAACACATCTTCATCCCTGTATTATTGATGAAGGCTCAGAATACCGGACCTGTCCTGACTGACAAAGGGAGTCAGTACTGGATCTGGGATGAGAACCTGAGAGTACTTCTTGCCAAAGTTGTCCCCAGCTCCTCATGCTGCCAAAAGCACTGCCTGCTCTAGCCTGACAAAGCAGTCATTTCCCCACCAGACTGGGAAGCTGAGAATCATGCAGTTTATTCAACAGAGCAAGACACCTGCTTTCCTGGATGTTAGGGTGGTCTGGGTGCCCAGACAGGCCAGATGCTTCACAGGTGGAACAAATGTCCTGCAAAGGAATATACACGTTAGGTGGATATTTAGGAATAGGAGGCCCATCTGTTTAAACGGATGATTCCAGGTTCCTGAGATTGGGATGGGGGGATAGTAATGGAGGGAAACACATTCCGGTTTCAAGGAAGCTGGTCACTTAAAATGTGGATTGAAGATGAGGTTTTCATATCTGAAGTCACAGGTCTTTCTCCTCCATTTACAGCATGCAGCGTTTCACCCTGCATCACGCATTCTTCTCCAATGCTACCTCTTGGGCTCCATATTCAGGCCCTTATCCTCATTGCTTGGACCATAGCAATAGCTTCTCACTAGTCCCTATTTCTCTACATATGTATAAAACCAGTAAGTTACATTTCCTGAAACTTATCTCTGAATCTCTAAACATAGCACTTCACTCCTCATTGGACTGAAGATTTTCATCATTTTCTTTTAACCTACAAAGTTGAGTACTAACTCTTCACTCTAACTTTCAAATCTCTTGACTCAACCTTCCTTTCTAAATTTCTTTCTTTGACATTGATATGGGCCTGAATTCCCATCTGATGCATTGTTTTTTCCCCTCCTTGATGTACACATCATCACCGTTTCTACCTCCAGGCATTTGCTCCCACTCTTCTTTTTCTTCCCTTACTGATCTTGTAATTTTTCTAGAAATGCTTTATTCATTCATAAAGAATAAGTTCAAGTTTCATCATGTTATGAAACTTTAGTCATCTTATCAATGGTGGTTAAGTCTGTGCATATTTCCTAACACTGGCAGTGTCTGTATTACTCCCAGTTGGGGGATTAATTAGAGAGGTGCAGATTGGGAGTGGGTAGCCCAGCTAGGGGCCAGTTGCAATATGTCATGGGAAGAATTGCAGGCAGGGGTCGGGGCTGTGAGAAAAGGAATGAGGGTGGGTTCTTGCCAAATTGGTGGCCAGGGTCATTGGGATCTGGGAAGCTGATGTTGGAGACTGGAAGGGTGGTCCTTTAATGCCTAACTGGCCTGCCAGAATAATTTTTTTATGGATGCTCAGAGGAGACCACTCAGTGGAGAAGATGGGGGGCAATCCATGTCCCCATTTCTTTAAAATGTGAGCCCTACCCTCTGAAATCATATTTCTTTGTCACCATTAAGCTCATACTCTCAGCTTTGTAATTTCCTTCAAGAAAACACTGGAAGTCAGGTTTTGTACAAAAATATATTTATTTTATATAATAATTATATAATATTCATTTCCACAATAATATTTCAGCAATGCACTGGATTTTTAAAACAAAAAGTCTTTGTATTGATCATTCTTGCAAAGATCCTCAAAACATCCCAGGGATAGAATTGCAGTTCACAAAGAAAAGGCAATTTGCCTGAGTCTCTTTATATAAAAAACATTAGTACCATGGAAGATAAACTTAAAACATCAATAACTTAAACAATATTAACATTACTTAAGGCATAATGTTTCATATCAACAAACAAAATGTATGTCCTTTGAAATTATAATAAAATAAAACAGAGTATCTGGGGAAAGCTAGGGAAAAATAAGTTAACTTTAGAGTTCGGGGTTATGGAGTGAGTGTTCAAGGCTTTGGAGTTTGGATTTGCTTGTCCAGGTGGTCAATGGAATCTTCAACCCACTTCTGCTTGGGGTCAGCACAGATCTCCTTGGCCAGTATGGTCTTGAAGCTGTGGGGAGGGAGGACACAGTTAGATGAAGTTCCTCTACAGTTTTGGCCTAGGAGTGCAACCCATCCTGCACCAACAGGCTGCTTTGAGAGCTAGAGGAGAAGGCAGGTGGAAGAAGGGAACCTAGGGCAAACTGCTCCTATAGGTGTCCAGGTGGAGTCATCCTGACTTCAAGCTAAAGAAATTGGGGTGTTCTGAATAGGCACCCAGGTGGAGAGTGATGTCAGGGGTCACTTTTTCCCTTTGTGACTTAGTTTTCCCATTGGGAACCTTTGTATATTAAGTTAAATAGTGCATTCTCTGACTCTAGGTTTATGAGCCTTGCCCCTTGCTCCCTGATGAAGAACTTCAGGCCAGGGAAGGTTGGTGTGCTGAACTCACATCACAGCTTCTTTGGGACACTTGCTGCTGGTGATTCTTCTGTAGCTCACCAGCCTCTGCAGTGAGATCTTCTTATTGGTGAAGATATAGCAGCAGGTGACTGGGGCATTGATTGCATCTGGAAAATAAACCACAAAGAAAAAGCATTTTAGGATGAACTGGATTCTTCTGATCTTAGAGCAGGAGAGTCATGAGAAAAAAGCAAAAGGAAAGCAGGAGAAGAGGAAGAGCTCATTAAATCCCAGCGCTTCTGCCTATACCTCAGTGCTAGAATGTGATCTATGACACAATGACTCAGTTTCCTATGCTGTAAAATGGATATATAACATTGATAATGGACGGAGATAAGGAGGACCTGTTAAAGCTAGATAACTCCTACAAGTGTCATTAAGAGGGACCAATAATCCAGATGATCAGCACCAGGAAAGATCAGCTGGAGACCCCTGCTAGGAGTCTCCTTTTAAGCTCTGAATAGTCTATGCTTGGTCATGAGATCCCCTGATATTCATTACCTCTGCAGAGCCACTGTCTCTGGAAGCTGAGGTGAATGAAGCACAGACCAGACTCTGGGTCTCCAGTGTGTCTGGAAACAGCCCACACACCTACCCTCTCTTTGATCATGCTGATTCCCAAACTTTGCTGGAAGCAGCTGGGAGAGTAACTGCACTGAGGGTATTCCCAGAGATGGAATCCTGGAAGGAGCTGGATTTGGATTTCACAGCTGGAATTCTAGTTTAGCCTCTGCCTAGCAGCAGCGGTATGGTTGGACTCACCCCTGGTTCTTTTCTGAGTCACCTTTTCTTGGAAAAGCAGCATTAAAGCAAGACTGTGGGTACCCTGTCTGCTTGGATGGTCCATGATAACTCAGAGAGAGGGCAGTGTTTCAAGGAGAAGCAGAGAGGGACCTTACCTGGTTGAGCGAGCCCCTGGGGGCTGAAGGTGGCTGCTATGAGCAGCAGGCACAGAAGTGCTGCAGAGACCTTCATGCTGGAGGCGAGGATGCAAGCTTCAGTGTGAGAACTGGATGTTTCTGGGTTGGTCTCAGCCTCTCTGCGCCTCTGACTGCTGTCTCTTGTCTTTTATAAGAAAAAAAGGGTGGAGTCAAGCAGGCAGCAGGATCGTCCATGAATAATAAGTGGGTTGTTAAATTTGCTGAGCAAATGCAGCATACCGGGGATTTCCAGGAAGTAGAAAAGGGAAGAAGCAGTGGGTCAGGACGAGACACTTTTTCCATTCACTGCTGAGACCAAATGACCAAATGAGGAGGATAGGATGCCGTTAAGCCTAGGCTGACCACAGATGTGAACTAAGAGGGTTATTCTTAAGGATTCTGCTTTCTCTGAAGTGAAAACTCTGCAAAAAAGGAAGGAAGAGAGGAAACTAGATGAAAGCATGTCAGGCTCGCTGCCAGCTTACCTTCAGGCCACAGTCCAAGAGGCCTGCCAGCCAGGGAAGGACCTCTGAAACCTTGGCAGGCTTGGTGGCAATGCAATAAATCCATTTGCTCATTCAAATGCAGGATAGTGGCACAATAGAAGCCTAGCAGAACTGTAGGATTGTGTAAACATTGAGCTGAATTCTAAGGGTTGTAGGGCTTCAGACTTGGACGCCATGGACATCATGTGATGTTGCAGAAGCAATGCCAATATCATACCGAGTGCTTACTCTGCCAGAAATATTCTCAGCCCTTTACTAATATTAAATCTGTAAATTTCCCAACTTCATCTAGTAGGGATTGCTAATTCCTATGTTATAGATCAGGTGACTGAGGCACAGAGGGGTTGAATAACCTGCTCAAGGTCCCCTCAGTCCAGGCAGCCTGTCCCCACTGCCTGTGTGGCCACCTCTATGCTATACTGCTGGAAGGGAATGTGCACAAGTCCTCTAACCAGTTGCCTGCTTGGGTCCTCTCTCTGTCCTCAGCATCTTCCAAATGGGCAGTCAGCTAAAGGTGCGTCTATAAACATTCCTTGTGCTTAAGTCATTATGAGTTAGGAGCCTGTGGTCAGCACAGCAAGCAGCAGTGGGCAAGAGGTGCATCCCTGATTACGGCGGCTCTTCTCCCAGCTTCCTTCTTTATTTCCAGGGGACATGAATAAGCAGAGGAGGAGTATTTCGGGAACTGGAAAGCCTGGCTTCATTCTTTGGTTGTGCCTTAGATTTCCTTGTAAACCACAGAATCATGCTAATAAAAACCCAAAGACCTTAGAATTCATTTCAGTGAATTCTATTCTCTTACAAATATGATAGGGTTACTTGAGGCATGTTAATGGCTGAGCTGAGTTTAAAATTCTGGTCTCTCTATTCTCCCAGCCCACTGTCTCCTCCTTCTGAGTCTTGCAATGCCCTTGCCCAATGGGCATGCAAGGACTAGTGACTCTTCTTTCATAAAGGGTCACTGAGGCAATGTCTATAAATGCATGGGGTGTTTTAGAAGAAAACACCTATCAATCACTACATTTGTAATAAGAAATGGGTTGTATACAACAAATGGCTGTTTTGTTCCTAGTAAGTGGTCAGTAATGGCATTGTTGAGTGCATTCTGGGAGTCAGGCATGGGGCTGACATGCTTTCCAGCGCAGTTCTCCAACCAACCCAGCTTTTGTTAGGTTAAAACTGAAGTTATTTGTCCTGAAATTCAAACAGAATAGTAGATGTAGCTGAGATTCCCACCTAGAAAGTTCTGATTCTAGAATCTCTTCTTGCTGGCACGAGACTTGATGTCTCATGATGGATATTGGTTTCTTGGAGAACCCCAGAGCAGCGACTCTATGGGGTGAGCTTTCCAGACTCTGGTGGAATTACACAAAGGCAGGATGAAGAGAGAACAAGTCAACTTGAGCCCTGCTTTGCTTGTGTCTCCTGAGGAGTCTTATTCTCGTCCTGCTGAATCTTTCTATATACCCCTTTTCTCCCCCATCAGTGTTGAAACTTCTCTGTGTTTTGCGCAGTCCTCTGCTCATGCCTCAATCCATTCTTATCCGATTAATAAAATGTTTCCAGGACTGGAGACTGTAACTTCATGTAGGAATTTCTTCCTAGACCATCTCACCTTGCTTATTTCAAAGAAGTTTCCTTCATATCAAGGGAAACCCCTCTCTAATCTGTCAGTGCATCCTTTACCATGAACTTGGTGGACTGCATTCCATTTCCCTTTAATATCCGGTCATGCTTCAGGTTTTCTCTAGGTTAACAAGCTGAAAGATGCTGAGATCTTTAAACAAGTGTCTCCTGGCTTACTCACATCACCATAACTCATAGAATCCCAGAATCAATGCGTGTATAGAGGTCCTGTGCATGATCGCTTGTTTTTGTCTGATTAAGTCACAATCCAGAGAGGGAGATCAGTTGACCTATGGTCACAGAGAAAAATTTCCCAGCTTTGCTGGCTGATTGTCTGGATGTGCTTCTGAGTGCTGGAAGCGTGCCTCTACTTCAGGGTGGAGTCACCGTCTCTGGAAAGTGACTTGAATGCAAATATCAGACAGTAAGCACATGGAAGATGAAAGGGTGTGAATCAGAAAATGAGGTCTTCTGGAAAGTAGTAGCTGTCTCCCACCTCTGCTCTGTCAAGAAAAGATGCCCTCCCTAGCTGAGAGGTCAGTGCCAGGGTAAGAGAAATGAGTGGAAATCCCCCACTGTGAGGCAGCTCTGGAAGTTCCCAGATCCTGTAGAAAAGAATGTATTTGGCTGGAGCCTGCATTCCTAATGCTGGGCCTGGAGCCAAGTAACTCTCACGTGGGGCTGTGCTGGGAATATTTCGGCACAAGCCTGGGTTGGGCTCTCACTTGGGGACACGAAAGGGAAAGGCCCCCAGAGGGGCTATGTGGAAAGTGAGGGCCAATGGTGTGATGCTGTCCAGAATTTCCAGTTCCCCTGGGGCTTCCTCCCCATCAACTCATAGATAAGCAATGAAGAGTTCCTTTTGGTGACTAACGCTTTCTTCATTCCTCCTGGGGTCTGACCCCACCACCAGAATCCTCCGCATGTACCTTGGTCATTGCTGCAGACTCCCACTCAGTGTCAGGGGTGAAAAAAAAGATGAAGTAAAAGTGAGCTTTCTAGAAAAAGCTGAAGCCACTGCCTGGGTCCCCACCCACTTTTGCAGTTCACTCCCCCCTCCCTGCCTCGTGCAGGCTCCCTTAGCTCTGCCTTCAAGAGAGATGCACAGTTGCTCTGCACCCACCATGTCCTTTCTAGACAGCCCCCGTCAAGGCTTGTCCTCCAGGCTAACTCTTAGCTCGTCTCCAGGTAGAATAGAGCCCATTTTCCCAGGGCCTCTACTCTGCAATCCCTTTGCTTTCCAGGGCGAAAATCCTTCTTTATTTTTTTCACAAAATGTCAGAAAATGAAAGGGACCTTAGAGACCATCCACCTGTTTCTCTGATGGGGAGACTGAGGCCACGAACAGGGTAGTGACAGACCCAATGTGAAATAGAAGATGGACGGCTATGTTTGTGCTGGTTCGCTTATTTCTGGGCTCTCAATGTAGTGCCCTTTGCCATCTACTGCACTGTCTCTTTATTATAGTGTTCATACAGCTAGCATATACCCTGTGCGGAGCACCAGGTAGAGGATTGTGCAGGGAGGGGGAAGTGAATCTGACATGATGCTTCCTTTTCAGAAGGGCTGCTAAAGTAAGCACCATGGAAAGTAGGAGTGAATTTAGGAATAAACCTGATCAGCGCTTACCCCAAGCTTCCAGGAGCTAAGATTTCTTACATTCTGGATTGGATCTGCCCCAGGTCTAATTGCATGAAGTAGCCAAGGATATTCCTGAGCATGGGAATGGGGTGGCGATGGGCAGAGCATTGAGAAGAGAAAGTAGAGTGGCCTGAGTTGGTGGGTGGAGGTGAAGGTGGTGAGGAGTAGAGATGCCCAAGGAAGCAAGAAGCTTGTTCCTTAGATTGTTGTGTGAGCCAGCCCTCGAAGATTAGCATCTGAGCCCTAGTGGGAGGAGCTAAGTAAATTCTTAGGCTAAGGGCAGTGTGAGCCACTCTGCAGCACCTTTGTGTTACACACTGGAGGAGAAAATGCTTTCCTCATTTGGGGCTTGTGTTGTGCAAGGTGGCCTGAGCAGTGTGATGAGAGGGTCAAGGTGCCGAACGGGGAGAGGAGGATGGGCAGGTCTTAGGTAAACAGAGATCAGATGGAGTGGAGACAGAAACACTGTTTTGACAATAGCCTTTTGTTGACTTCTTTAGCACCTGTGCTGGGGTCATCTGAGGGAATAGAATAATTGCATTAACCAGAGAGATACAGCACTGTGAGAGTCCCAGCACAGAGGCCCAGGGAAGGCTCGTGGTGGTACATTTAAGATGAGCTCAAGGGTTGGGCAGATTTTTGAACCTTGGGTGACCGTTGAGTGGCGATGGGGGCACATTTTGGGCAAACTTACAGAGGTTGCGTATTGTAACGTGCTTACCCATCTCCTTGGGATCTTGCAAAGTAGAGATTCTGACTTTGTAGGTTTGGGGTGGGCCCGAGGTTCTGCGTTGCTAACAGTTCCCAGGTGATGCTGCTGCTGCTGTGGGTGCATACCTCCTTTAGAACAACCTTAACATTTGTCTTCTGGTAGGAAATGCTGGCCAGGTGGGGGAAACAGTGAGCACCTCATTTTATCCAGACCAGGGCTCTTGTCTGGGGCCCTTGGATAGACTCTCAGAACCATCAGGATTTTTCTTCCACATTTATGTTTTTGTGCATTTTTTCTGGAGAGAGGGTCTGTAGCTTTTATTAGATTAGCAAATCCATCCATGATCTCCAAGTAGTTAAGTGCCATTGAATTTATCCGAGAGTTCTGGGCTTCCACCTAGACTTGCTGAATTATAATCTGCATGTTTTATTTATTTTTTGAAACAGAATTTCACTCTGTAGCCCAGGCTGGAGTGCAGTGGCACTATGTTTGTTCACTGCAAACTCCACCTCCTGGACTCAAGAGATTCTCCTGCCTCAGCCTCCTAAGTAGCTTGGATTACAGGTGCGTGCCATCACACTTGGCTAATTTTTGTATGTTTAGTAGAGACAGGGTTTCACTACGTTGGCCAACTGGTCTTGAACTGCTGACCTCAGGTAGTTCACCTACCTTGGCCTCTCAAAGTGCTAGGATTATAGGCATGAGTCACCATACCCGGCTACAATCTGCATTTCTTAAAAAAAATGTAAAGCTATATTTTTTCTATGTCCTCCCATAGCACCCTCAGATGATTGTCAGGCTGCATCTGGGACCCTCAGAGTGAAGCATAGGATATTTGAAGAGAGGACTATGCTGGCTGGGCTGGGAGGCACCAATAGGAATAAATACAGGCAGATAAGAAGGAATAAGAGGAGAGGGAAAGAGAAGAGAAGACAGAAGAGAAAGAAGAGGTAGCCTGGAATAACAGAAGGAGCCTCAGGTGGTGTCAGAACACGAGGGTCAGAAGCCTGGCTCTGCCTCTTTCTAGCTGTGTGGCCTTGAGCAAGTCTCTTGACCTCTCTGGGCCTCTTCTGTCAAAGGGGATTAGTCATACAGCTGCTTCTGACATTGTCATGAGA